GGGGTGGCGGGGCGGGGGTGATAAATGCTCCCCTTGCTCGAATTCATGTAGCTGGGGAGGGGGATGCCAGGGGAAACCCACATCGTGCACCTGCCTGCCTGCCGCAGCGTTTCAAGAAAACGGCCGGAAACGGATTTGTAAGGTCGTATGAAGGGTTCGGGTGTAACCCGTATTGACGTGTTTTATCTTGGGGGAACACAACTGGGCCCCCCGCGGACCTCCCGGACCCCGCTGCTGCTCCGCTGTTCACCGTACGGATCCAGCTGTACCGCGTCTGTATCGTACACCCCACCAGGGATGGCGGCACGCTGGTGACGTACGGCGGCATGTCCATGCAACCCGTGACCGCGCCAACCGCCGCCATGATTTTCAAGGACATCTCCTTCCGCGGGTTCTGGCTCACGGGCAGGTGAGGGGCGGCCGGGCGAGAGGCAAGTATGTGTGGTGGACTCGGGTGTGAAACCCAGCCAACCGCGTGACCAGCCACCGCTCCGTCAAACATAATAATTCCCTGGTCGTGCACCTGCCGTAACATTCGGTGTGCCTCTCATGTTACGTATCGGGAGGAGTCGCCTTGCCCTGCTTGGTTCCTGTTTTTACTGCTTCATGTCCGGTTCGTAAAAATCCCGTCCACACACCCTTGACGCGCCGCTTGTCTTGTGGCGTCCGTTTTCACGTCCCAACATCCTTTACCACCCCCGCCTGCATCTTTGCGCACCTCTTAGCCCTCTCCGGCCGCATCCCGGCTTCCTGAGCCCTTGCTTGGACTCCTTACCCCTTACCAAGTCCTTGCTAAACTCGTCACCCCCACCTCAGGTGGTCTCAGGCGCAAGGCCCGGCTGGCAAGGCGGCCGCCCTGGACCGCATCGTGCAAATGTACCGGTCCGGCAGTCTGCGGCCCCCCGCTGTGGTGGCCTTCCCTCTGGACCTCTGGCGGGAGGCCTTCCAGGAGCTGGCGACACCGCACAGGGGCCGCAAGGTGGCGCTGTCTCCCTCGGCATAGGTGAAGGATGTGAAGGAGGAGGTGGTGAGAGTGATGATGATGATGATGATGATGATGATGTGGAGGAGGTGGGGTTGGAGGAGGAGGAGGGGATTGGGGAGCAGCAGGCGTGGAGGATATGTGCGGAGGAAAGTTAAGAGTTGGGGTTTTATAAAGCTTTATGCCTTGGTTGTGCAACACATGGTTGTACAACGACAGGTGCTGCCGGCTTTTGAAGTGACCACCCATCTATCGCTGCCCAGCCGCGGGATGGATCGCACCATTATTTCTTGGTGCTGCACTGCAAACCCTTTCCAAACAACGGAGGAAACTTGTAGCCGTGCAGTTCTGATTTCCCGCCGCTGAGGGATCAGGTGAGATGAATTGATACCACATAATGCAATTCAGCGAATCCTAGCGTTGCTGAGACAGCATCAAGGTTGTCCCCCAACAGGCCTCCCACGATGCCCTAGTCTCCTCCCCTTCCTGTCACCTTTTGAAGTTCAGCCAAGACGGCAGCAGCAGCAGCAGCAGCAGCAGCAGCAAACTGCAGCCCACCTGCGGCGGCCCCAACCACAAGAACAACAAAACTGTCGACAGCGTGGTTCAGTGCCGCCACTCCACGATCCATACTCATCCTAATATCGTCCGAAGGTAGAGAAGTTCTTAAAAGTGCAAAAGCATCCTTCCAACTTTCCCTTTAACGCGCCGCAGCCCCCTCAGCAGCGGGGGGGAGCCCCAGCGGGGGAACTCCATCGTGCACCTGCCATGAGCCCCCCCAATCACATCCGGCACCCCGACTCCAAGAAACGCAATAGAGCTGCACCTACCCGCCTGCCTGCCAGGCCAACCTCGACCTTTCTCTCCAACCATAATACCCAACTCATGATGCAATGCTGTGATGAAGGCAATCGCAATGGCTCTTGCAACCTGCAATGCTTTTCCATCTCCCCGCCTTTTAGTCCCTTGTTCGGCAGCTACCTTCCTCTATCCGGCGTCAAGGAAAAAAGAGCGCCCCGGCCCCCCCCCACACACTATAAAGTACAGCATAAAGTACAACACAGACACACGCGCTCCTGCGAACACGAGCACGTCCATCACTGCGGCAACAACTTCCTAAAGCCATCCGGGGGCCGAGGGATCTGGCTGGCTCTCCTTCGGCGACAGCAGCGGCGGCAGGGGCCGGGCCGCGGCAGGGTCGGAGCGCCGCGGCGGGGGTGGCGGCCTCCTGGGTACACGAAAATCCGTTCGTCAATTGCATTATCGCGACGCGTCGCCCATGGCGAAGAGGACGGCGTGGGCGGTCCACTGAGCCCACCCGATGCAGCAGGACGACAGGCCCCCGGCCGCCACAGGTCACAGCTCCTAAACCATCCGAGACTCTCACCGCACACATTTGCCCTCCCTAATCCTGTTGCTCCGCCATTCGGAAAGCACCAGCCGCACCGAAACCCAACTTCCAGAATTGCAGAAAATCTGACCACAATACACCCGCATGTATTCATATCCGCTCTCCGGTTCTATGTTCCAACAAAACTCCCTCCCTCTCTCTCTCTCTCCCAGCGCGCTTCGGCAGCCATGTCCGCACATGCGTGCATGGCTAGCCCACCTGCTGGCTAGCCCACAAACGCACTGCTCCTACTTCGCTACCTCACCCCCGGACGAATTTATCGACCTCCCCCTAACCTACACGATCGGACCTCCGACTAGCCAGGACAAACAAATCCAGACTCCGATTCCCCTACGAGCACGACTCCTGCCTCTTTAGTTCCTAACCCCCTAGCCTTCTTGGGCCCCTCAGGCGGGTCCCAGTGGGCTCCTCAGCCCAGGTCAGATGCCACCTAGGGCTCTCCCGCCAGCCCAGCCCGGCTCGGCCCGTTTGGGTCTTAGCTCATCTCAGCTCCTGTCTTGGCTGCCCAGCAGCTGCAGCAGGTAGAGGAAGATGTTGATGATGTCCAGGTACAGGGACAGGGCGGCGAAGACGTACTCGTCCGGTGAGAGCGCGTACTTATGGCCGCCCATGAGCAGCTGCGGAGGGGTGGGGTGGGGGAGGGGGACATGGGGGCCAGCAGGAGAGGGGACTGTGACAAGGGGAAAAAGCCACGCCATGGCCACCAGCGGCCCCTCACGCTACGCTCCCCCAATTCATAACCCATTTCCCGGTGTTTCGCACTAACGAGAAAGTGCAGGATCCCACCCACCCATCCATCCACCCACCCATCCCAACCATCCCAACCATCCCCTCCTACAAACCGAACCGACCTGAAGGTCGAAGACGAGGTACAGCGAGAAGAGCACCACCCCCGCAATGCAGATGCCCACATACAGCCAGGGAGCCCGAATGACCAGGTTCAGCAGCGACGCGGTGAACACCGCCAGCAGCAGCGACATGAGGAAGCCGTTGGCCATTGTGAGGTCCACTCGGGACTGGGTGGCGAACAGCGCACAGCCCAGAACCACAGCTGAAAAGGAAAAGGGCAGGGAAGGGAAAGAACAAAGGCTCTGAGAAAAACGGGAGGGGATGGATTGGGATAATGGTCGAGAGAAAAAGAGCAATGCGACATTGCGCTGGGGAGCAGTGCGAGACAGCGGGGGAGAGGTGTAACGCGCAGGGTCCAGATTTGGGGAGCAAGCCGACGGTTACTGACCCAGTTCGCCGTTTAATAAACAGTCTAGTATTGTAATTTCAGCTCGCCGTATGAATTCGTACCTGTAGTGATGCCAACCGCCAGCAGGACGACCTTAGTGTCGTACATGGCGGACACGGTACCGACCAGCATTGCCTCACACAGCGTGAAGCCCGCCAGAACAAAGAGATTGAGTGGGTGGTTGCGGCGCAGGGACTCGGAGAAGCTGAGCGCCAGGATGAGGACCAGAGATACAGCGAAGGCGGTCCAGAATGGCCATTGTGCGGTGAATACGTAGGTTTTGACGGGCTGAGAGAAGATAAAGAGAGCCGTCACGGCGGCGGTGATTAGCAGCTGGACGCCCAGGAGGCCTGGAGAAAAAGAAAGTGTCGTGGGATGGGAAGTACACTTTGCGTAATATGGCAATGCCAGAGCTTATGGGGGCCGCAGGACGAGGCAGAATTCCCAATTGCGAGAGACAACTAAGGTAGCGCCAGGGAAAGATCCTGTAAATTGCGGAAACGGCCGTCCTCAACGTCAGTCCAGTCCTAAACTTAATCCGGTCTGATGGCGCAGGTCCCGTAGCCATGAGCAAATTATTTAACTTGTCGATATACGCCTGAAGGCTCTCTACTCATGGTGAAAAACAGGAACGCAGGCAAGCTGCTCCGACACGGAATTACGAAGCTTGGAGAAGACGCCAGAGCGATGCTCACCTAGGACCTTCCGCACAAAGCCTTGCCGCACTTCGCGTTCAGCAAACGCAAACGCATAAGCGTCTTTAGCGCCCAAAAGCCCTGCCTCCTCATCGTAATTATAAAGGAAAGCCATTCCCTTTCCCGGGTATTATTAGCCACAAAACAATTGACAAGGCAGGCTGAGTGTCTCCAAATAACGAATTTGAGAATGCCAGGTAGAAGCTAGATTGTGAGCGAAGAAACGTTCTATACGGGTACGGGTAGTACGATGCGCAGAATTGACTTGACGAGAGGGCAAGACCCCGGAGTACTTCCTTGCGTACGCTAGTCATCAACGCTTTAAAAACACACGTCAGTCACCCTCGCTTCCAGCCCTCTTCGCGGCCCATAAGATTTTTTCACGGCAACCATTACCTTGCATTACCCAGCTACTTTCCTCTTCAGAGCTAAGTCCTGTACGAGCAAAATTTGCAGACGTTTAAATACGCCAGCGTATGCCATCTGCAGCCCGTTCCCACACGCGCACTTCCATCCATCTTTGACTTATCACCCCCCGAGGGACCATCTTCCCCACCTCCAGGCGCTCTAGATCAACCCATCTATTGCGCTCCCTGCGGCCTCCGCGGCGATGTGGGGCTCTGCTCCGCCAGCCCGCGGGGCCGCAGCCGGCCCCAACCGCAGCGCAGGCCAGTTCTCCTTCTACGTCAGCTGCGACATCAACCTGCAGGTCCGTGTGAAGGTTTCGGAGCTCCAGGGACTCCTCCCGTCCGCCCGTTCCCACCTGTCTGGCTCCGGGGGAGCTCTAGCTCTCTTTGGGGACCGTACCACCCCGTTAGGTCACGACGCCGTCAGGGTGCGTACCTCCGCCTCCCAAGCCGCCGTCGGCGCCAACGCTACCGCCACCTGCAACAGCAGCCCGGGAAACGCGGCTGCAGCGACGAGATCCTCTAGCGGCGGTAACGGCAATACGGCTGCGGCCGCTGGCGGAGGCAGCAGCAGCAGCAACGCGCTTTACGTCACGGCATGGCTGACATCATGTAATGACACGCTGGGGCTGGAGATGGAGACAGGTTATGCAGTGGCGAGATGCCCTGCAGCCGTCAGCGTCAGGGGGCCGCCGCCGCCGCCGGCGGGGGCCCCCTGGGGTGCTGTTGCCGGAGCCCCTGGGAAGGGTGCCGTTGGCGGCGGCTTTGCTCCCGAGCCGCTGCAGAATCCTGGCAGTGCTGGCGGAGGAGGAGGAGGGGGAGGGGGAGGGCGGGGTGCTGGACCAGTGGCGGCGGCGGCGGCTAGCGGGTACGACACCACAGCGCGCTGGGACGAGTGGCTGACGTTCTGCATCAAGGTACAGGGGGAAGAGCGGCAGGAGCATCAGGCGTAGCAGCTGCAGCGGCGGAGAGGGGGGAATGCCCGCGTGTGTGTCATGTGAGCGCGAGAGATGTGGCTCTGTGGCGCGTGTTGCGGGTCGCAGCGGTGTGGGTCGCAACAGCCGGGTACGGGTCCAGAAGCACCACCCGCCTCCTGCTACCCGGGGGGGGAGCTAGCGCAGGGGCCGTATCAACGCATTGGATGCAAGGCCCTTCTGCAGTTTTTCGTTACCTCATTCCTTTCCTCCTCAACCAGGCCACCGCCACCACCACCACCAATCGAACTCCTGCCCCCCCTTCAAAAACGCCTTTTGGTCAGTTTTACTTCTGGTCCACTCTTGCCCTGGCAGCAGCTTCACTCGTTCGTGGTTCGTCTTCCCCACCCTTCAGCCCTAGGGAACCATCCCCGCACTTATCCGCTACCGGCCACCACCACCCACCCAACCACACAACCACACAACCACACGACCACACACCCACACGCACCGGGCTCACCGGGCTCACCGGCTAGCAAAAAGGGATGTCCATATGCAATCAACCCCTGAGGGGGATGCTACAACCACCAGTATGCCGTCCTCGTACACCGCGCCGTACCACCGTACCAAACCCGCCTGCAGTACCGCGACCTCCCCGTGGACGCCCAGCTGGCCCTGATGGTGGTGGAGGTGACAGAGGGCCGGGGGGAGGCGCTGGTGGGGTCCACGGTGATGCCGCTGTTCAGTAAGCGGGGACGCCTGAAGACGGGGCCTCAGAGGCTGAGGGTGTGGGAGGGAGTGCCCCCCTGCACCGCCTTCCCATCCAACACCCCCGGCAAGGTGAGGGTACAACGCGGTTGGAAGGGCGGAAGGGGCGTTGGGGTTGGGGTTGGGGATCGGGGGGCCCCTAACTCCCGCCCGCCGTCTTAATCCCTCGACCTCCTCCCCACTTCTCCCCTCCCTCACCACCCCTTTCTCCCCCCGGCCCTCATAACACAGGTTCCGCTGGCTCACCGCGACCGGCTGGGTCGCCTGGAGCACCTTCTGGGTCGGCTGCAGAGGGGGGAGATGGCGCCAGGGGGGGATTGGCTGGACGCGCTCACATTGGGGGTGAGTATGTACGTGTGTATGTATGTATGTATGTATGTATTATGTATGTATGTGTTTTGCGGGGGACCCTGGGAGATGGAAAGGCGCTACAGATTCGGCAGTCGGGGTTAGTAAGCCAGGTGGATGTGTGTGCCCAGATATCCCGATGGGAACCCCCCGGGCTGAGGAAAGGCGCTAGGTAAGGGGGGGGGGCGGGGGCCCTCCGTAGGCAGAGGGCCGGAAAGGTGGGAGCAGGTGTACGGCAGGTCCCGTGGCTCGCGTTGTCACACAGGGAGCGGGGAGGAAGCAGGACCGGAACTGCTGATTGCTGTAGTACACCGTGTTAGGGTTTCTGCGTGTTTATGTGGACCAGAGGGCATTCGAGAGTTGGAGTCGTGCGGTAGCAGCAGCTGCTGCTGCAGCAGTTGCGTCTGCTCACGGAACTATAACTTTGCAACCGTCATAACTGTCACAACCGCTACATCCCGTACTTTTGGGCGGCCCCCGGCCTCTCGCTCAGGAGATCAGGCGGTTATCCCAGCTGGACCGGGAGGCCTGGCTCACTCGCCCGGAGCTGCGGCTAACTGTCGTACTACCGATGTTTCCGTACCCAGTGCTGTCGTACCAGCATGCGTTGTACACGGCGGCAGCAGCAGCTACGGCGGCGCCTGGCGGCAGCGGCGGCGCAGCGCTGCCCCCTGCGATGACTGCTGGCAAGAAGGACGTTCCACCGCCAGGTAGGTGGGAAGGCGGAGTGGGTGAGTCGTGTGTTGGTGTTTTCAGATCTGTTAATATTGGAATTGTAACCCCTTCACATCGACCGGGTGGGCGTTGAGGTGGTTTGTTGTGTAACTGTTGCCGTTGCTGACGTCAGTAGAGGTACCTCTGAACCCCCTTCCCCCCGCCAGTTCCTTAACAACCCCTCCAATCTCCCCCCCCCTACACCTCCCTCATGGCGCCTTCGAAAGCCAGGCTCCCTGCTCTCCACGGAACCAGGGGCCGGTGGTCCAGGGGGCCCCATGGGCATCGCCACCAGCGGCACCACCGCCACCACCACCACCGGCAGTGGCGGCGGAGGCGGTGGCGGTGGCATCATTCGGTTGCTGGACCCGGAGGTGATGATGAGGGGGTGACCATGCTTGAATGTATGTATGTATGTATGTATGTATGTAGGTCCCGGAGGTCTTTGGCGTGTTTACCGTGCTTCCTGGGCACTACTGACCGACCGGTAGCTCTATCCACCTATCTGCCTGCCTTATTATAGCTCCCCACCCTGGGGTGCTCCGGGTGGCTGCAGCCCAACGGCTGGTCCACACAGCCAACCGGGGTCTCCCCTTCGCCGCCTTAACGCAGTTCACGGGGTTGCGTCACAGCTGGGGACGTAAACACCAATCGGTGCTTCGGACGTTCGCGCCCCCTTTCTCTTCTTGCTTTGTGCGGCGTTTCCTTCCCTCCTCCATAACCCCCCTCCACACCACCCTGGGCCGCCTCACCACCACCACCACCACCACCACCACCGCCGTCACACACACACACACACACAAATACACATCAGGTGGGCCGTGACAACCCCGCGGAGCTGAAGGCTCAGAAGCTGGCTCGGGGGCTGCAGCGGGGCGTGCTGGACAGGGACCTCAAACCCAACAGCGAGGAGAGGAAGAAACTGCAGGTGAGGCAGCAGGGGGGGGAGGAGGGGGAGTTAGGGAGGGGGAGGAACAGGGAGTTCCGCCAGCCGCCCTTGGTAACACTGCAACCCACTCTCCCCGGGAATTTGAACACTGAGACAGACAGACAGACAGAACGATAGAAAGACAGATAGACAATCAGACAGACAGACAGACAGACGGACACACCTGCACCTATGGATTCCTCGTCTGCACCTGCACTGGTGAACGGATTGCGGTCGATGTTGCTGTTACCGCATCGCCGTGTACAAAGCATGGGGGGGTCGCGAAGCGGTGGGCTTAGCAATGAGCAGCGCCTGGGGCTGTCCGGCTGCATCTGGACGTATCCACAGCTAAAAAGCTACGCCAGACGACAACACCTTACCAGCGGCAGAAATGCATGTGTGCACCTCCTGTTCTCGTTACCCTCGTTAAGCCATCTTCCTCTGCCCTTTTCTCTTCCTTTCGACGTAAAGAATTATTCCCCATATATATGTGTATTTAATATTTGTTCCGAAAATTACCACAGAAAATCACGCAACCCGCTTTTCCTCCTCGCAACACATGCTCACACACGCACACACACATATAGGCCATATTGAAGCTGCCCCCCAACAAGCCGCTCCATGCGGAGGAGCGGGCACTGCTGTGGCGCTTCCGTGCCTCCCTCACCGCCGACACCCGGGCCCTGACCAAGTTCCTGCAATGTGTGGACTGGAGCGACGCGGCGGAGGCCAAGCAGGTGAAGTTGCCGGCCGGCCGGGGGGGGGGAGAGATTGCATAAAGCATGCACCCCCAACTCCCAACCCCAGGCTACCCAACTTGTGTCTCCCCCGTACCAGTACCCTCCCAAGGGTCTGTCGGTCATCACGGCCCTTCTTTACCCCACCCCCTTTTTTTAAGCTCCCTCCGTGTACCCCTGTGTTGGATGCAGTGACAATGGACCCCTCAGTCCTTGGGTTTAGCTCCCCCTCTCCCTTCCTCTCCCTTTTTTTTCCGCCTCTACACCTACCTTTACTACTTCCTTACGGATTCATTCTAATACTTTTCTTCCGCTCTTACTTTAGTCTTGGCGGCTAGGTAGGTAGGTAGGTTTCCGCGGTCGTCTTCATCACATCATCCCGAGGTCGCCGCCTTCAAGAACGCCTACTGGTCAGTTTTGCTCCTTGGCAGCAGCTTCACTCGTTCGTGGTTCGTCTCTCCCTCGCCTCCCCTCCCCTCCCGGCCCCCCTCCTGTTCCTCCCAGGCTGCCGAGCTGATGCGGCAATGGGCCCCCATCAGCGCCGCTGACGCTCTGGAGCTCCTGTCCCCGGACTTCAGGGCTGAGGTGGTGCGGGAGCATGCAGTGAAGGCGCTGCAGGTAGAGGTAGAGGTAGAGGAGAGGCGGTGCGGGGTGGGGCTGGCAGGTAGTGTGGGGGCACCCAGGGTAGGGTAGGGTAGGGTAGGGGGTGTCCTGTTTAGGACGTTTCTGTTGGAGTTGGGAGGGAACTAACCAGGTGCGGCTGTGACGTGTTACTGCAGCTGCCTCCTCCCCTCTGCTCCCCACCTTCCCCTGTATGTATGTATGTGTGTGTATGTATGTATGTATGTATGTATGTATGTATGTATGTATGTGTATGTATGTATGTATGTATGTGTATGTATGTGTGTGTGTACGTACGCGTGACTACCCTTCCCATTTGGGTTGTGCCATGTCGTGTCGTGTCTGGTTCGAGTCGGGACGGTCTTTTTGACATATCCTCACCAACTCCCGATATCCTTCCCCCCTTCCGCCAGCTCCCGCTGTCGTCGTCCTCCTGGCCCCCCTCCTCCTCCTTCCTCTCCTTCCCCTTCCCTAGTGGTTGATACTCGGGACGCGTCGGCAGTTGATTCCCCGCTCCCTCCCCCCTTCAGACTCACGACCCCGACGAGCTCAGCCAGTACCTGCTACAGCTGGTCCAGGCCCTCCGCTACGAGGCGGCGGACGGCTCCAGGCTGGCCAGCTTCCTGGTGGCCCGGGCGGCGGAGGACCCCGCGCTGGCGATACAGCTGCACTGGTGGGGGGGGGGCTGAGGGGGGAGAGGAGAGGGGAGGGGGGCGGGGGGTGTTTGTACGGCCGTCCTGTTATGATAATACCCTACCGTACTGGCATGTATCCTGGCTCTTCCCCCCCCAGATGTGTGCCGGTCCTCTTTCCTAACCACGTTTCACGTCGGCCATAAGCACCACCTATCCTGCCCATCCCTGTCCACCCCACCCCCACCCCTGCACACAACCCCCCCATGCAAGGTACCTGTTTTGTGAGCTGGACGACCCGGGGTTCGGTCAGCGGGCTCGGGCCCTGCACAGCTCCCTGCTGGACGCCCTGGAGCGGCGGGCGGGGCCTGTGGGGCTGGCGGTGAAGAACACCATTCGGAAACAGGTGGGCCGAAGGGGGGAGGGGGGAGGGGAATGGGTGTGTAGGGCATTTGGAGATACAGCCCGACAGGAGGGCGGGCAACCGAAAAAGTGAAAGGGGCGTCATAATTGAAAGGTCCGGGAGGTGGTGTGTATGACCGGAGGCCGGTGCGATGCATTACAGGACTGAGTGATTCGGTATGTAGGTATGTAGAGAGCACGATGTAAAGGGCACATACACACACATGTACACATGTACACATGTACGTGCTTGGCTTAATTCCAGGTCGGTTTGGTCCTCTGCTCGATCCCTCTCACAACAGAACACCACACACCACACCACACACCACACCACACACCACACACCACACCACACACCACACCACACACCACACCACACACCACACACCACACCACACACCACACCACACACCACACCACACACCACACCACACACCACACCACACACCACACCACACACCACACCACACACCACACCACACACCACACCACACCACACCACTGAATCGGGAGGGCCCGTCTGATGTCCGTGGGGCGGCGGGGTGTGTATGTGTGTGTTCGGGGTGGGGGGGATGCTGTCCTGCTGCTGGTGCCGGTGCTGTGTGTATTCAGGTGGACCTGGTGAAGCAGCTCAAGGCGGTGATCCGGGAGCTCAAGAGCGCCAAGGTGCGGCGGAGGGGGGGGGAGGGGCGGTGGTAGTGGGGGTAGTGGGGGGTTGGTAGTGGTAGTGGGGGGTGGGGGTTGGCGGGTTGCAGGGGGTAAGTTGGTTGGTTATGTGCAGGAAGCAAAGGAAAATGACGATACGACCGCCAACGGCCGCCCATGGACCATTTGCTTCATATCTCACACGACTACCCCCTACCCCCTTCCCCCCTTGTGCCCCGCCCTCACGCAACGAACCCACAAACACACGCACACATATATACATACATACATACACACGTACACACTGGTATAGATCAAGGCTGCTCGCGCCACTGAGCGCCTCCGGGAGATGATATCCGAGTCGGGGCCGTGTGGGGAGCTGACCGCCCTTCGAGTGCCCCTGCCGCTGGACCCAAACATAGTGCTGGCAGGGATAGTGCCAAAGGTACGGCGTTGTACAAGGGACTTAGTGGCACAGTCTACGGAATCGTACGACGCATCGTACGGCACCCGTTCCCTGGGCTGAGCGGGGCCCCCCTGGGGGGAGCATGGGAGCGATGCATGTATGTCTGTATGTCTGGTGTTTGGCGGTACCTTGCGCTTAATGAGCTTTTTGTTTGGTCCATTAATAAAGTACTTGATTAGGCCGAAGGAATATGATTAGAGTATCCTATTGTCCTTCGACACGGAAAGGAATTATTGCCTATTTAGTATCATTCAATAAGTCTGGTACCGACTGCAAGTTTTAGCCACCTGTGTGTGTATGCGCACGCGCCCGCATGTGCACACACACACACATACACACACACACACACACACACGGAGCACCCGCCATTGCTAATTCGCCTCATTGCCAGATGCGTTGGTGCGTTGCCGTACCGTACCGCACCTGCCACCTGCGTGTCGCTTCGACGGAACCGACGCAGGCCGGACATGCTTACATATACATACATACATACATACATACATACATACATACATACATACATACATACATACATACATACATACATACATACATACATACATACATACATACATACATACATACATACATACCACACCTGTGAATCATTTGGTTGGCCTCTCAGGACACATCAGTTTGTACGGCAGAAATGCCGTACAAATTCTTGAGGTGATGTATGTGTGGAGTGGTCCCCACTCCACTCAGACATCAGGCATTGTTGTTGTCCTTTCTGCTAATAAGCAGAGCACACACAGTGTTGGCCCTTCTTAGTCTGGCAGGCGGCTGGCAGAGGTTAAGGCCTGACTTCTGCTCCCAGTCGACCCAGTCGACCCAGTCGACCCGGGTTCAAATCTGCCTGCCGGCTCCTCGGGTGTTTGAGGAGTGATGAAATGGGAGGTGGCCCCCCATCATATGGACGGTGTAGGACGTGATAATATCAACTTGCGAGCTGACCAGGAACTAAGTTGATGCGCCGTTGATCCGCTAGATTTGGTTGGATGCTGGTGGTGAGTTGCCGAACCCAACGAATACATTCTGAAGTCGGATGGGGTGACGGATTAGGGTGCCCCTCTAGCAGGGGAGAGCAGGGACTGCCCCGGGAAAGGGGGCCGCTGGCGAAGTTAACCACCCTGTAACATACATACATACATACATACATACATACATACATACATACATACATACTAAGAGGGTTTGGCACCACTGGTAAGGCGCGACCATTGCCCCCGGGAGATCCCGGGATCGATACCCGTTAGGGTCAAAGTCCTTCCGATGGTGGAAGGCATTGCGCCCCTAGTTGATGGACGGTGGTGACCTGGGATAAAGTTAACCTGCGAGCCGACCAGGAACGGAGTTGGGCCGCTGTCGACCCGGCAGATTCCGTTGGATGCTGGTGGTGGGTGCGGAACCTGAGCGATCCACTGAGAAGTTGACTAGGGTGACTGGATGAGGGTGCCCCGAAATACCGGGGAAGGCAGGGTTTCGCAGGGTAGCTGCCACGGGCGAAGATACACCCCCCTGTTTCACACATCATACATACATACATACACCACCCTGCAGGAGTGCGCCGTCTTCAAATCGGCGATGATGCCCCTGAAGCTGTCCTTCCGGATTGAGGCAGCGCCCTTCAATTGGCGCGCTCCCCCAACCCCCCCGGCGGCGGAGGGCGGTGTCGGGGGCCCGGGGCTGGCCCGCGGCACAGCGGCCAGTCCGCATCCGCACCACCACCAACAACAACATCACCACATCCTCCTGCCGTGGCAACATCACCACTCGCCTGTTGGCGGGGCCGCCGGCGGCAGTAGCCACCACAGCGCGGGGGCAGGAAGCAGTAGCAGCGGCCATCATCGCCATCAACACGGGCCAACCGCGGATCCGCTGTCGCTACTGCCGACGAGGACGGGGATTGTGCAGGCGCCGGCAGGCGCCGGCGGCGGCAGCGGCTCCGCCGCCGCGGCGGCGGTTACGAGTGCCAGCTCACACCACGGCCAGCACCCGGCAGCGGTGGCGGCGGCCCTGCCGCCGCCGCCGTACGGAGCTCCTGGACCTATTTTGGACGGTTACCGGTGCTGGCTGATTTACAAGAAAGGCGATGACCTCCGACAGGACCACTTCATCCTCCAGATGATCAGCCTGATGGACCGGATGTTGAAGCGCGAAAACTTGGACCTGCGCCTTACGCCGTACAAGGTATGTCGTACACTGCTGTGGGTGATTCGTACACTGCTGTGGGATCCGCTTTTGCGATATCATCTGACGTGCTAATATGGGTCATGTGATTGAAATGATGGCAAATCGGAATTTTCATTATCGCTACCGTCAACGACTGTCAACTGCCGTCAACCGCCAGTGCAAACGACACCACGGCTTACCGATTGTTATCGTTATATTGCATTTGTGGCCACTGAAACTCCTTTTTTGGTCTCCTCTTCTACCCACTATTTCTCTACTATCCATGCCTCTGCGCTCCAGGTCCTGCCCACAAGCTGTGATGACGGACTCCTCGAGTTCGTACCGTCCGTACCGCTGTCTGCCGTACTGGCCGAGCATCGTACCATCCATCGCTTCTTGGCGCTCACGCAGGTGAAAGCAGATGGCCACCGCCGCACCGATGTGGGCTTTCGCTGCTTGTCCACGTCCGTCGGAGCACCGCAACTACCCTTTTCGCCTTTCCCGGACTGGGATACCAACAGTCGCGGTTACTTGTTTTTGTTTTTGTTTTTGAGAATAGGGCAGGCACAGCCTAGTTCAAGAGAACGCTAAGAAGCCTTTCGGAGGATTGAATGACGGTCTAGATGGATAGTCGTGCTATAATGTACCCAAACACCTAACGTACCGTGCATGCAACTGATGTCTCTCGCCCTAAAGTTCTGCGGCATTGCGTGTGGCCTGCCCTTTGTCTTTTCCCCTCTCCACCCTCTCCACCCTCTCGCCACCCCACCAGGCCGACCCCACGGGACCTTTCGGTCTTCGTGGGGAGGTGGTGGAGACGTTCGTACGCTCCTGCGCCGGCTACTGCGTGATGACGTACATACTGGGTGTGGGGGATCGCCACCTGGATAACCTCATGCTCACAAAGTGGGTGGTGGGTGGGTGGGTTAACAATGTTTGCAAATGTAATATTGCTGGGCATTACTCTTACGTTCTATTATATGCGTTGGAGGGACGTTTGGGTTTGCTTGCCTCTTGCTTTCCTCACACCCCAACCCCTAGAACCTAGGACACCGACAGTTCACTTCCCACCTCCTCGTTCATATGGTTACCCCCCAACCCGCAACCCAATTCCTTTTCCCCCCCCCCGTTCGTCTTCTCCCCCCCCCCCCCATCGCAACCCCTGACGCAGTGACGGCCGACTCTTCCACATCGACTTTGGGTATATCCTGGGCAACGACCCCAAGCCCTTTCCTCCGCCTATGAAGCTGTGCAAGGAGATGATCGAGGCCATGGGCGGTCAGGGCAGCGAGTACTACAAGCAGGTGTGGGGGGGGAGGGACGGGAGGGGGGAGGGGGCAATCGTTTGATGATGGTCGGTGCAAGAAGCAGCTATGATTGGACTGCCGACACGTCCAAAGTGGGAACGGAAGAGAGAGAGAGGGACGTGTCGATGCCCCCCGAAGCCAGGTCGGAGCGAATAGGAGCGAATGTTGCGTACCAGCCGCCTGCAGTGTGTGATGTAATCCTTTTGACTTCCTGACCTTCGCAGCCGTGATGAGGGAAATGCCGATTTTGGTGGGTACGCGATCAACTTTATGGAAGCGCCAGCTCTGTAATCACCAGCGACGTGTTAGAGTCTTCCAAATGAAAGCTGTACACGTGGTTTGAATTTTGTTGATTCGAAGTTGTTTGTTGTAATAATGATGTGTTAAGAGTCCGTAGAGATAAGCGGCGCTGTAGTGGCGAAGGGCGACTAGGGGGGTGAGTGGGCTGGAGATTGAGGTTGGTGCGGGTGATGGTCTGGATGTCGCCCCTCCAGACGCCCGCAGGCTGACAGCGTCGACATCCCTAACCCTGGCGCTGTCCCGCTCGCGACCCGCCAGCCCGCAGATCACCCCTCTCCCTCTCCGTCTCCCTATCACTTTTCCCCCTTCCCCCCTTCTTCCCCCTCCCTCTTTGATTTGCCCCCGTTTCTGATTTCCTTTGCATATGATTTCCCCCCTCTCTTCCCCACATCCTCACTCTTTGCCGCCCGGCTGGCGTGTCATAGCGCTCAGCGACTTGCCTTGCCTTCCAAGCATTTCCTCCCCCTCCTTTTCATCTTCTCCCTTTTCCTCTTTTTCTTCCTCTCCTCCGTTTTCTTCCTCATACCATGCATTTCTAACACTGCCCCCTCCCTTTCTTTTTCCCGTCCTCCTTCCTCTTGCCATCTTTCTGTTTCCTCTCCTCATATAGTTCCGTATGTTCGCGTGCGAGGCCTACAACATCTTGCGCAAGCGAGCCGATTTGATTCTGTCCCTGTTCCACCTGATGGCGGGAGCCTCGATAGAGGCCATCCGGGCGGACCCCGAGAAGGCCATTCTCAAGCTGCAAGACAAGTTCCGACTGGACTTTGACGATGAGGCGGCCGTGGAGTGGATGCAGGGCCTTATCAACGAGTCAGCTACGGCGCTGCTGCCACAGCTGGTGGAGACAACGCATCGCTGGGCGCAGTACTGGCGATGAGATGGGTTGGGATGAGAGCGGATGGGATGAAATTGAGCGGACAATTGAGAGGTATGAGAGGAGTTGGGGGCTAGGAGTGAGATTTTTGCAAGAAGTGGGGATGGAGAGAGAGGAAGGGTATGCGTGGTGTGGTGTGGTGTGCAGTGGGATGGTAGAGATGTGGGAGGTTGATCGGCTGGTGGTATTGGGGTGCGGGAGAGGTGTCAGGGGCGGAGTGAGGCGATCAGAATCCTATCTGGTGCCTGATGTGATGGTAGTTTTTTGTCAGACGACTGCAGGTGCTTTGGCAGTAGTCATAATCCTTGAGGTATTGCGGCGGGTGGGGGACGTAGGGTGCGGCTTATTTTGGCAAAGGTAGGCGGGGGCTGGAGAGAGGCCTGAGTTGTGGAGGCATCGTGCAAAGTCCATGCTCTACGATAGGCTGTGGTGGAGAGTATTTGGGTCGTGGTGGGCTTTGTAACAACTGGGAAACAACTGAGCGGCTGCTTTAGGTGCCCTGCAAACCTGTGATTCACCCGGAACCTATGCTCATGATAATCGTTTCCTCTTGAGTATCCATAATTGATGTTTCGGACACGGTTCCTTAAAAGGCGGAAACTATGGAGCATTAAGCCGGAGAAACCTGGCAGAATCGGGGCCAGGATGTGTAAGGCCAGGCCCGCCAGCCGCTGCTGGTTCTGTTATTGTCTATTCTGGACGCTGTTTTTTGTGCTGCGTATGTGTGAGGGCCATGGCGCGAGGGTGTGCGTCCTTTCAATACCGGAATGTTTAACAGGGTTTCTACTGTACATCAACCTGTCTTACACAGGCTGTCAAGGGGTCCAGGTACTTCGAAGGTATGTAGAGTATTCATGCTAGAGATATTGGTTTCGAGCTGTACTATGTAAAAGTCCTGTGTCCTCGATCTGTTCCACCTTTCAAGTTATGTTTTTATTGAACCTGCGACAGCCAGGAGCAAAAGCTTAACGTGCAGCCCAACTAAGACTTAATATCACGTGTCCTTACTATAAATAACTTTCCATCGCAATAATCGACACCGCGTTCCGCCTTTGCGAAGATGACCAACGACCGGATAGATCAGGGCGACGTCCCTGTCCTAGATATTGCTCCTGATCAAGCGAGGCGTGAAGCAAAACAATGGCTCAGCACGTATCGACACCTTTACACGCGAACACAAGCGGTCATGGCAGGTGCGTCAAGAAACGATTGCATCCTGCAGTTAGACCGTTGCCTCAACGAAACCCTCTCCTGCAGTGTAGAATTTGGGTCAGGGCCTACCTGTGAAGCTCTCAAAGGAAAGGACACCTCTGCAGCTGCATTCGCAGCGTCGGCAAGCGCACTGCAGCGCCTACAATCGGATGTATGGAGCCAAGTCAACGCCGCTCGCCAGAGCGTCCGCCGGATAACAGAGCTAGTGAGTCTTTCGCTGAGAACTGCATCCCAGTAAATTCAAACCCTAGCCCTGCCTGCCCATCCAGTGCAACTGGTCACCACGTACCCTTCTCCCTCCCGCCTTTCGTCAGCTCGCCCTACCACCACCCCGAAGCAGCCTACCTTTCACCTTCTTCTCCTCACAGGCCATCTGTTCAAATAACCTAGAACATGGCCACTCCCACCCTTCCTCCTCTCCACGCCCCACCCATCCCTTGCAGCTCGCCCAGCCGCGGCCTGGCCAAGCCGCCCCTGTGGAGGAGCTCGCGGAAGCTATCGACGTCGCAGAGCGCACCCTGACGGCAGCCCGCGACCAGCAAGTTGTGTCCCTTGAGCAACTCTATCAGCAGGAAGCTCAATTAGAAGCCGACATTGAGGGCATCGGCTCCCGACTGGACGCGGACCTTGCGGCGGATGCAGAGCGCGTTGTCAGGGACGCGGCTGCAGGTCCCTGTGGGTCCTTACGTCCCGCAAGCGCTGGACCCAGGTGGGATCCAGGAATTGCGCCCGAGTGACTTCAATGGGAGGTGGAGGAGAAATCGGCGTGGGTCTGATCCTGTGGTCCCGACCGATTGGGGGTCTTCGGCGCTGTGGCCTTGAGCAGGATGGTGCATGCGCGTGCGGTTGCGGTTTCTGTGGTACCATTCTTCGTGAGCGTGGGTTAAGAAAGAGTTCAGGCTGGGTTTGTGTGCCGGTTGTGCGATCGCGTTTTTGCGTACTAGTGCTGTGTTGATGTCATGTCTTATGACTCTCTCGCGCGCGCATTGAAGGGGGAGGGAGGGACAATGTCAAGGGGGTGAGGGGAAAAACGGAGAGGGGCCGGGAAAGGAGCATTTTAACCCACCCTTCCGTTGTCCCTCCTCGCTGTCCCGCTGCTACCCCTATAGGCGGCCCACCTCCCAAGCACGGCAGCGCCGAGCATCCACGGGCGGCGGAGGTGGAGGCAATGGCTGTGGTTTCAGAGCTGGTAGCAGCAGCGGCGGCGGTGGCGGGAATGGCGGAGGGGGGCTGGCTCCCGAGGTAGAGGAGTACGAAGAATTTATGGCTCAGCACGGCCCCACAGGTGCGTCTGTGTGATGTGAAGAGCCTACGCGTGCCTACGACGTGTCCCCACGTGGAGGAAATCGTTTTGGGGTGGGAAAACATGGGATGGGACGGGGAAGCAGGGCGCCCCTTCCGCCTTGTCCCGCCCCAGCGTCCCGTCCCCCCTCCAATCTCGTACCTTTTACAGGCGGCTGGGAGCCCGAAGATCATGAGGAGTTCCTGGCAATCCTGCGATCCTGCGATGGCGACTACAGCCACGCAGTAGCCATCGTCCTGGAACGTACTATTGGTTACAGCCGCAAAGAGGTGATGGACCATGCGCGGTGGCACATGGACGTGGTGGAGCTGGAGGCGCGGAAGCGGGCGGCGGTGGAGCGGTGGCGCCGGGAGAGGCAGCAGCAGCGCGCGGCGCTGGGGGCACGGCAGGCGGTACTGCAGAGTGACACCGCGGAGATGGTGAGAGCTGGATAGGAGGTGGGGACCGGTAGGGGCCATGGTCGGCTGTGGGTTAGCCCTGGTCGGCTAAGGGTTTCGGAGCGAATGAAATCGACCCGCGCTACACGGAGTGGGCGGAGCGTGAGCCGAGTAGCTGATAGGCAGGAGACCTCCCAGTGAGGTGGGGAATCCATTACATGATGCACAAGTCCAAGGGGAAAAGGGATTGGGAGAAGGGGTTAGTTGCTGTGGGCCCGAAGGGAGATGGAGACGAGAGGACCGATATGTATTGCTGAGTCAAGTGTGCGAGGTGAGGGAAAGGTTTGCAAAACGTGGAACCCAAATAAATGGCGACGAGCACCGCTTCCCAAACACGACGATATGCGGTTTGTTGGGACCAACCAACTTGAAGTCGTGGCGTATTTTTCATGGTATGTGTATGATTCGCTGCTCGGCTGCGAAAGGCCTCACGATGCACGCAGCAGGTCCCTGTGTTAGTCTTCTAGTGTGCTAGCAACCCCTGCGCCGCGTCCCCCCTGCCTGGCTAAGTAGGCCCGGCGCGAGCAGCAGCGGGACCAGCGCAGCAGGGAGGAGGAGATCCTGATGGTGGAGGTGAAGAAGGCCATGGCGGCGCGCTGGCGGGCGGAGCGGGAGGAGCGCCAACGTGCGGAGGCAGAGGCAGCGTGGCGCGCGGCTGAGGCGGAAGCTGCGGCCCGGCGAGCGCAGCTGGAGCAGCGCCAGGCAGCCAATAAATTGCGGCTGCAGATGTGCAAGGAGGCCAAGGTGGGGGACAGGGGAGGACGGGGGCTTCTATGTAGCTGCTGAAAGCAGATAACTCCTTGGACATCGGGGTTTTGGTGTTTCGGACATCCTTCCAGGACTTCGCTGTGGTGGTGGTGTCTGTGTGTGTGTGTGTGTGTGTGTGTGTGTGTGTGATTCAGGTGGTTGAGGGTGGAGCCATGGGGCAATTTTTCTGTTGTTGTTGTTGTTGTTGTCGCCATGCGCAGGAGCGACAGCGGCGCGACGAGCAGCGGCGGGCGGCCGCGGAGGTCGCTGTGAAGGCCGCACTGGCGGCACCCACTCCGCAGCAGCTGCAGCGTGTGGCGGAGCGCAGCGCCGCCACCTTCCAGCGCCGCCAGTCGCTGCTAGCCAGCTACGAGGCGCAGCGCGGTCGCCGGGAGCGAGTGCAGCAACAGCTACTGGAAAAGGTATGGGGAGAGAGCTGAGCGGCTTACGGTAGATGGTGTTTGCGGTGCTGGTTGTGGTTGTGGTGTTGGAGGCAGGGAGGGCCCTCCGTGTGGCCACATGTACTCGACTGTCCCAAGCTTAGTTTTTATGTTATGTTCTTCGTGCCTCTCCTGCTTTCACTGGTAAAGCTGGCTTCTCAGCGGGAGGGGGAATTGGCTCACTCATGTGCAGCTGATGAAGGGGAGGTATGCCTTTGCCTTCGTGCGGTGGACTCCCAGGTCCAGAGCGCAACTCTACGGGCTGCTTCCACCAGCCGCTCACATGTCCTGGCCCTCACCCCTCCCACTTCCTCCCGTCCGCATTCCTTTTTCCCCTCGGTGTCTCAATCAAGGTGCATGTGGACGTCCCAGCTGACCCCTCCCGGCTGCTCAAGGGCACAGCGGCACACATGCTGCGCGTGTTGGCACAGCAGGCGGAGGAACGTAAGGCCCGGGACAGCGGCTTCATCCTGCATGTCAGCAGCCGGGTGACACCCACCTGGCGGGCGGGGCTGCAGGGTCCATGAGATGTGCGTAAGAACCCCTCGACCTCGACCCTGATGGGTGAGGTGGTACACCCCAATACCTTAGCCCATAGCCGGGGGGATTGGGGTCTCCACCCTTGGGGCCCATATGGGAGGTGGCGGGCTGTGCTGGAGGCTGCGAGAGTGGAACACACATAATCGCGTAGACCGGAGACTGATTGGGGTATATGACGACGAGGGTGGTGCTGAGGGCGGAGAGGTTGGGCGCTAAGGGCAGACTGGGTTGCGGGACTCTTAGGGTTGGGCGCGTTCCTCGCGGTTGAGGGCTGCCGTGTGAGTGTATGGATTGGGCTATATGTGTTGGGTTCAATGGAGCAGGGAGGTCAGGGACGGGGATCAGGCTTGGCAAGCCGAAGATGGTGGAGCGGTAATGGTGGTGCCCCAGTGGGGCATCGCGTTGGATGGCCAGCGGCGGGGTACAGCCCCCTAACGCAACTCTTGTGTCTTCGCGTGAACCGCATCATCATATCTACGTATTCGACAGCACAAATCTGGTGCCACTCGCAGTAAGCATCCACGGTCGGCAGTCATTGGAGAGACCCCAAGCGAACTCCTACGGACCGCACGGCAGCAGCACGAGTGGCTTTCCTCAATATAGCTCAAACGAGAGTGGTGTTGCACCAATGGACACTCTTACAAGACGCTGCAGCCTCTCCATCCGCCCGCTCCCGCAACTCTTTTGGGATGCTAATCACCGATAACTACTGCTTGTTGCGCTGCTAACGCCTTTCTATCAACTTGCCAACAGGACACTCATAGCTCTGGAGGCCGCCCACTAGCCGCGTCCACGATATCGACCACACGTTTGTCCTCGGACACCTCAGCAGCAACTATAATAACGGTTATTCACCGCGCGCGCCACCCACCCATCCGCTCGCTGCACCCAGGCGCTGTGCACCAGCCACGCCGGCCGAATGCCGCACAGCAGGTGCACGCCATTCTGCAGCACCGAGCCCGTCGTCAGGCGAGGCTGCACCAACTGCTCCCGCCCATTTCCCGACCGGGTCCCCGGTCCTGCTCTACTCGAACTCTTGAACCGCTGCATCACTTGCCGACTGTTGTGGCCGGTAAGGACTAGCAGCACGTGCGCCACGGTAAGGAAGCCGAGGGGCAGCACGAGTAGGCCCATCAGTGCTAAGATGGCATAGGCCCAGGTATAGCCGTAGGGGCTAGGCCGGCCGCAGGCGGTCAGGGCGTAGTGGAAGCCCAGCAGCACAACGGCGGCTTGCACCGCGATGTAGCGCGCGAAGAGGTGGTGGTTGCGCGTCCCCACGCACACGCCCAGCCACATGCAATGGTGGTCAAAGCCCTCAACGCAGCGGTTGCAGTAGCGGCAGTGCGTCGTGGCGGGTGCACGCCGCAGGCAGCCGCACAGTGGACACAGCACAGGATTATTGCCGTCCAAGGCGGCGGTTGTAGCCAGAGGAGCTGCAGACTCGCAGTCGGTGACATATGTGGGTACACTAGGGGAGCTGGGGAGAAACGTGGGAGCGGCAGCACGGGAAGCTGCTGCTTGGGCGCTGTCCGCGGGGCTAGGCGGGCTCGCCCAGCCTGGATCGCTGAACCTGACGGCGTAGTGCGCAAGCACGTTGATGCTCAGCGCGACAGCCACCAGCCAATGGTGTGCTTTCACAGCCTCGCCAACACGCAAGTCTGAAGGCAGGATGCACAAAGCCGCCAAGCCCGTGATGTGGAGCACCCACCAGACCACATGTGCAAACCTATGCTCAAAAGCGCCCATCGGGTTGGATTGCTATTGTGATGTTTCGTTTTAAATCCTGAAGGAAATTCACCACTTTTAGCATAGTCAGTTTGAAGATGAATACCAAAAGTCAGCAATGATATAACTAATCACTTCCAGTTAAATGCAACGTCGAGAGTCATTTCGTATAAAGATGTAGCCAAGATCACAGGAAGTTTAATCCAATTACAGCAACCCAGGAGCGCTATGCTTTTAAAGGGACCAACTTTAGTCATCGGTTGTACATTAGTTGCATCCCACGATCCCGCTTGCCCAGCTGTTGGCAATCGTACTCAACAGGCCGGCCTCGACACCATCTGCGCAGGCCCATAGCACGCCCAAACAGCACGCTGCTATGGGCCCTTGCTATGACCTCGACTGAAGTGCATACGAAGCACTAAGTGGCAACGGGGCGTTTCCCTCATCCTGCATCCTGATACGGTACCCGCAATTTTTGCATCCCAGCGCCCTGGACAAGATCTGTGCACTGCTTATATCGGTACTGTGAAATAACTCCTATTTGCTGTCCTAACTATTACGTAAAACCTACAATTGCCATACATCTCCACATGCATGCAGCAGCCATTTGACCGAAACCAACGCAGAGTGCCGCATCATATGACTCAAAACTCCCTGCAGCCCCAAGAAGATAACCCCCATGTGACCGTGCCGCCAACGCACCCAAACCTCTGAGGGGCCAAGATCCGCCATCACATACCAGGGGGCACGTGTTGTAACCGCCTGGCCGAGGTAATAACATAACATGGCAAATGCACTCAGGGCACATGCCTGTCCTATTTCATTTACCTGACCTGCCAATAGGTTTATTAGCACGAAAGAAAAAGCGAATGCACATATTTGTGCCGCCGCCAATCAGCAGTTTTCTGGGCAATGCCCCCAAAGAGGCACAGAGGATTATGACGCTAGGGACGATAGCCACCAGGACGTCCGTCTGTAATGGCCTATCCGTAGCGTATTAGCCAAACCCCAAAGGGAAAGGGATACCCACCCATGAAACGAACCAATAATAGCCCAGGAGGCAGCAGAGCGCCAGAGCAACGCCAGACACGATTCGGCAATTCTATTTCGGAATCGGATGCTCCCAAAGACTGAGGCTCCATGTGTTTGCTCGCAAATGTAACCCCCCGGAAATGACAATCAAATGGAACATAAACACCCGAAACGAGGGGGACTCGCCAACACACACATATACACACACATACACACGTGCACGCATACCCCTGGGCAGCAGTCACTAGGAATGCGTCTTTGTGGCGACGCAGCAGCAATAACAACAACAACAACAACAACAACAGAAAAGAATATAAATATGTTTAGGCCTAAAGCTCACAACAATTCTTCCTATGGGGTTTTGCTGAAGCCAACAGAGGTTCCCCAGGAAAGCTGGGAAAGATCGGCAGGCTGGCTCAAAGGTCCGTCCCGGCGGTGTATTGCTGCTGTTACGCAACCAACCCCGTACTGTGGGGTTCGACTGTGGGGTTTTCCCCCATGTCAGCTCAGCTTGGTAAGCTTACTTGCCGGCACCGCAGAGCCCCGCCATACTTAGCGCATATACACGATAAACAACCGAACAACACCTCGGGCTCGGACCACAGAAAGGCCCCAACCCCCAATCATAAGGCAACAAGGATACATTCTTAAATGACCACAATAAGGAGCCAAGCCGGGTCGCCGTTAAATTTGCAACTATAGGAAAAGGACAGGAAACCGCAACAACTACAACGCCCAACAATAATTGGAACGGATTCTTTAAATTTCCAACTCGGCAACTGTTACTGCCAACTGCGACAGCGGCCACAGCCGCACAGACAACCATAGCAGCATAGAGCCCCTAGGCTCCCTCCCTCCACCGCACCCACCACCGGCGACCGCAGCGCTTCTACCGCAGCCGCCATACTTGCAGGGCACTTGGACAGGGGAGGACGCTCCTGGCCTTGGTTCATCAGGCCACAGAGGAGGAGGAGCTGGACTGCAAGGGCGCCAGGACGCGCGCCAGAGGGGATTGGTTGGGGTCGTGGAGGGCTCGCCGCCACAGCTCCGCCCACAGCAGTGCCACATCCTGTTTGCCGCCCTGGAGCGATGGAAAGGAGGGAGGAAGGGAAGCCGGGGAGAAGGGAAGGGGGGGGATGTTAGGAAGCAACCTACCCCAATGAAACAGTGAGGCACAAAGCACAGCGGCAGGAGCCCCGGGCGGTTGCGGGTATGCTAGGAGAGGCCCTCTCAAATCTCTTCCCCTACCTTGAGGATGTACTGGTTCTCGTTGACGCGGCGGAGCAGGTACGGAATCACCTTCTCAACACTGCCGTACGGGCAGTACTTGAAGACCCTACGCATTTGGTTCCCACGGTGCAGAGAGGGGGGAAGGCGGGGGGTCAACGGCGCAGCAATACACACCGCATGAGGCATTGCACACACACGCCTCACCACAAAGCATCACAGGCGCACCTGTAGGCTGGAGCTGTTGGGGCGGTAGGAGAGGGGTAGGGTCACGTGGGAAAAGAGAAATAACTGCCGTACAACCCAACAGTGCGCACCTAAATAACCCTGCTCCCCCGTCACGACACCTCCCGCCCACCATGACTGCCTCTCCATCCAATAAAGATTTCATCCCCTCATCCTCCCCTTTCCTCCACCCTCCACACACCCTAAAGCCACTGCACATCCCCTCCCACCCCCTCTCCTCCCCTCCCCACTCACTTATACCCGTGGTGGCCCAGTGTGAAGCTCAAGTTGTCCGCCATACCCATCAGCTGTCCGAAGTACACGGGAGCATCCTCGGGTTCCAGACCCAGCTTACTCATGGCCGCCACCGCCGCCTCTACGCTGGCCTGGTTATGAGACCCCATCATCACCTCCGCACGACCCGCCTTCACGGCGCCCAGCAGCACCTCCAGACAGCCGTCAAAGGACGCGTGGGTCTGCTCGATGTGGTCCCACACGGGAGAGGGGACACCCGCCTCCGCAGCGCGGCGCCGCTCTAGGTGCAGATACGCGCCGCGGACCTGAGGAAGATCACAGAATCGTGCGTGTGTGTGTGTGTGAGAGAGAGAGAGAGGGAGGGAGGGAGGCGGAGAGAGAATACGGAGGTAGTGGTGCAAGGTGGCAAAGACTGGCACTGTCCCGTAGAGGGAGGCGGAGTGGGTGGGTACACCAGGCTGTTACAGCGACTATCAAACATGCATGCAATCGTTCACTCGAGTGCATTAAGCTGGCGCACGGCACCTCGGTGCACCCACCCACTCATTCACACATCCAACCCCCCCACCCCGCCCCCCGCCCACCAGTTTGGCCCCCAGCGTGTATCTCTCCCTCCTGGCCCGGTCCAGGTCATCCGCCAGCCGCTGCTGCGCGTCCCTCAGGTAGGCCTGGTACGTGACGAATATGACCGCCTCCCCCGGGCCGCTGGCGCCACCAGCAGCGGTGTTGTGGCGCCGCATCAGCTCGTGGGCGATGTGGTCAATGGCGGGACGCAAACTGCTCTGCTCCGCATCGATCATCAGCTTCACGCCCTGAACGAGAAGGGAAGGGAACAGTATGGAGGTCAGGGGTATTACAAGCTGCGGGTTAGGGATTAGGGGTGGAGCGAACTCCAAAATAAGGGGGATGGAGATGAGGGGCTAAGCTAGTATTGCTTTCTAACCGGTGTGGCTGGTACAGGGTGAGTTAGCTGTCAGGAGCTAGGGGTGAGGCCTCATACAAAGAGGAGAACTGAGAAAAAAGATGGAGGTCGGGGGGAGTTTAGTAACGCGCGAGTAACGCGAGTTGAGACAGGGGCCCTCTGCTCCTAACGTGCACGTACTCGTGTGACGTGTGTGCCTCTTGTGGACACCTTGGCCCTCACACTGCCCCCACATCCCGCCCCTCGCAAGTTCCCCGCCTCAATCCGGGCCCCCACCTTGCTAACCGCCCTCTCCACGAGCCTCTCCAGCCGCCGCAGCAGCCCCTGCAGCTGCACCCGCTCCGAGGGGGACAGCTCCCAGGGCCGACCAGGACCTGAACCAGGGTCGGGTTCACACAAGATGTACGGCACACGACACACATCACACGGGCAGAAGCGGGGAGGGGTATGAGGAATCGTACGAAGCAAAAACGCTTTCCCCTCCCGTCCCTCTCTCCCTCCGGCCCCCCTCATGTACCCCCTTTCTCTCCTCGCCTGAAATGGGCCCTCAAAGGCCCGCTCTTACCGGTTGCCCTGGCCTGCTGCTCCAGGGAGGCCGCCAGCTCGGGCATGTGGGCCAGATTCAATCTTTGCGTCCAGCTGATGTAGTCAATGCGGCCCTGCTGCTCGGGGTCCAGCCACCGCCACAACTCACTGCGCTCATCCACGGAGGAGGTACTGCCTACGGGCGGGAGAGGAAGAGGGAGGGGGGGGGAGGAATGAGAGAAATGGGAAATGGAGCAAGGTTGATACATCAGGAAACCATAAGTAGAAAGAAGCCGGAGGAGTCCAAAAGACCAACTCAAACATGCAGGGCTGGGAAAGGGAGGGGCCGGGAAAAGGTGTATGGTGGGAGGAAGGAAGAAAACATGAAAAGAGGGAGCTCACGGGCTTGCTGCGCAGCCGGGGTTGCCGTGAAACTGCTCTAACGATCCCCAACCCCACGCTCCATTCTACACCCCGCCTACATCTCCTCTCCGCACCCTCCACACCCCGGATTCACTCAGATCATATCCTATCCTCACCCTGCTCCGCCGCCACCTTCTGGAAGCACTCCTCAAACTCGGCCTGTGTGATGTAGCCGTCTCCGTCCAGGTCGTAGGTCTGGAACAGCTCCCTCACACTGCCCACCGCCGCCGCCAGGTGCTCCAGCAGGCCCGGGTCCCCCAGGGCAGTGAGCTTGATGGCGGCAAAGCCCTGACCGGGCAGGGTGGCGGCGGTGTCGATGGCGGACAGGAAGGCCGTGGCGTGCCGCTCGCATTCGTCGTCCTCACCCTGGAGAAAGAAACACAGGTGGTGTGGTGTGGGCGGGTGTGGGTGAGAGGCTGAGGAAGTGTTGTTAATGTAGCCCCGGAGCGAAACATCGAAAAGAAGGGACACACGAAGGCGAGCGACCTGAGCAAGCTGAGGCGGCCGGGCAGGGCAGCTTGCAAAGCCACTTGCGCCGATCCAGGCAAGCGGAAAGAAACGGACTGGGGAGCAAGCTACAAGAGGGTGTGCATGTGAAAGCCCACCAATACTTATCTTGAACCCTAAGCCGCCATGATCCCCACTTCTACCCTCCCTCCTTCACCACCAGACGCACGCCACATCACCCCAGGCGAAAGGGATGTGGAAGTCGTCCAATCGCATCCATCCAACATGACCCACATCGCGTCCACACTCCGCTGCCCGGGGGCACCGGGGGGCCTCTGCACCGGGGGGCCCCCTCGCGCCTATCCGTGGCTCATCTCGCAGTAAGGCCACTCCGTTACTGCTCACCGAGTGGTCATACGTCCGAGCTGCCACCCGCGACTGAATGATCGTCTCGCCACCCAGTGGCTGCCGGGCCGTGATGACCGCATAGCGGCCCTTGCCCTTCGCGCGCGCCTCCGCACCGCCACCACCCGCCTCCACCTCCTTCGCCGCTGCAACTGCCGCCGTTACCCCCTGCTCCTGCTCCTGCTGCCGTGGCTTGCAGTGCTTCAGCAGGTCTTCTTCCTCCGCATAGTCGAGGATGGCACCGATGCCGTGGGCGCGCAGGGCGTTCATTCGCGCCCACACGTCTGCGGGCTCCTTGCCGGCGCAGAAGTGCTTGTAGAAGGACTCCTGTACGGCGCTCATGGCGATTCGGTCGCCCAGCAGGCTGCGAGCCGAGTCCAGCAGGGCTTCGGAGTGCGTCACGAAGGGCGTTGTGGCGCACAGGCGCAGTACGAGCAGCGCGCGCAGCAGGTCGCTGGTGCTGCGGCCCTCGAAGATGGCGGCATGGTCCTTGAGGGTGGGAAGGGTAGGCCGTGGAGGAGGTATGGAGCGGGTGCGAAGGTAGGGGGGGAAACAGGAAGGCGGGAAGCGGATCAGCGTAGGTCCAAGGGCAAAAGGGGCTGGATTGCGGAGGAAAAGTGTACCGAGTCGCAGCATGCAGGAGAATGGGAGAGGGGGAGACTCCTTAGGGAGAGGGGGAGTACAGGGCGCCGGTGGGGTCGCTTCATGATCGATGGAAGGGAGAGAGGGCTGGAATAAGTTGATAGTCGGGTTGTCCAGTGTTCTGTCGTGCTGCAATTCCCGCATTCCTAAGCTTGGCCCAACAGCCCAGCCGACAGCCGCTTAGAAGCTATCCGTTGAAGGCTATACTGCGCTGGCGGTACTGCACAAATGGCTTCGTAATATGACAACAGGTAAGGTGCTCAACGCTATGAAACAGAGAGGAAACGTTAAGAATGCTTGTACTGACAAACGATGTGGAAACGCTTTACGGAATAGGGAAGACAACGCACCGTGAACGTCAGGTTGGCGTCCTGCTTGGCTTTGTCAGGTTGAAAGCCATAGTTACGAAAGACTTGCAAAGGAGCTGCTGTCCGCCGAGTGCCAGATGGGGAGATTCCGGACAGAAGCCGAAAGGTCGACCGCTGCATGGTAATACAAGGCTTGCGGAGGATATCCTTCGGTTGTGTCCTTGCAATTTGCATGGGTCTATCGATCAGCGCGGCAAAAAGTCAAAGGAACTAAAGCTATAATTATGTAGTCCTGGCCCCGTGGCCTTGCGGTAAGGTTATCACGTAGAATCTAAGTAACAAGGACGAGGTCAGGGATGCACGTTTCCATTATACTGTATCGTCCGCCTTGACACTGTCCAAGCTTTACTCTATGCTGTACTTGATTACGTTTGAGTCGGACATCCTGCCGGAAACCAAATTCCTCGTAAAAGACCCTCAAATTTCAGCAAGCTTGTAAGTCTGTATCGCTTTTCCTACCTTTAGAACGTCAATGCTTTAACTCTGTTGGTACGAACTATCCCATGTCGTTCAGAACTTTCGGGTCAAGGACCCGGGGCGTCTGAGCACAACGCCTTAAGAAACGTCCACCGGCAGAGCTCCGCTGATTAACGTGCACAAGAGCGTTTCTTTGCGTGCCCAAGCCCAATGTCTTCTACCCACCCTGCTTGCATGTCTGTACATCACTAAACCGTGCATTCGACTTACGACCCGATAACTGCGCTATCCCGTCATGTAAAGCTCCCAAACATACCCAGCAGCTGCGTCACACAAATATTACAGACATACACGCTCGGTGCAAGTCAACCCCGTCAGGTGACGACACAACCCCACCGCCAGGTGCAGCACATGCTGATTTCGCTCGCTTACCACCGAAGCAGGAGTTTAGGTGGCGATGGCGCCAGCCTACTATCACAAAAACACTTCTTCCTCTTCTTTTGTGCTTCCCCCCCATTGCGCCTCGCTTTTTCGTCCACACAGCGGCCGTATAATGGCCTGGAGCTCCGAAGCGCGCGCGTGCGCACATGCACACACCCGGGTCTGACCCATGGTTCACTTCCATACCTTTCGCACGCCTCCTCATTCTATCCCAAAAACGCAGTAGCGCACCACCGGCTCTTTCCAGAATCGGCGCACAACTTCCCTGGACACATGAATACGTTGGACACAGCCATTAATCCATAAAACCACACACGCGCGCACAAACAGACGGAGGTGAGACGGACGGACGGACAGATGAGGTGAAAACACGCCGGAGTCCCGTCCCTCCACAAGATCGCCTTTCAGGAAACACCAGGGAGGGCGCTCCCACCGGGCTACCGGAGGCTCTCTTCCTTCTGTCGCCACACGTGCACACACACACACATACATACGCAATACAGGCATGTGCACGTACGGGCATACAAGCTAATCACACGCAAATGGTCGCTGTTGCCCCGTCTGTCTGTCCGTTCGTCTATCCCTCCGTAACCTCAGTAATGCCCCCCCAGTAATGCAGCCCCAATACTCTGGTGACACCTAACACGACAGGACTCCATGCAAAATGTGCAGCCCCCCGCCCCGGTCCTCGGCTGGTTTCGGAGCTTTCGACCACCGCCATCAACCGCCCCCTGTCCCTTCACAAGACCTGACCGGGAGCTCGCCTGACAAGTACAACATTACGTAATAATAAGATAGTACGCATATTGCCGTACATGAAATGTCGTACGTCCGAAACCACATTAACCCTTGAAAACCCAATTCTCTCATCAGGAATCCAGCCGGACCTGGATGGCACGATGGGCCCCCGGCCTCGACTCTCCCCCCCCACACCGCACACCCATCACACCTGAAACGTGCGGCACGGCCTCCTTTCCCCCTTTTTGCAAACCACACATGCACAAGATGACGAGATCGAGCGCTTACATCCATCAAACCCACAAATCGCGATGGGTCGCAAAACTTTTTAAGTCGCTGAATGTCACACCGATGGGATCACAGCTTCGATAGTGCAGATAAAGCATAAACACTTTTTGCCAAAAATGGACACAAACCTGGTTGGTGAGAAAACAACAGATTGGCAAACATTTGACAGGAAGCGTCACCGGGACGCAGCAACAGTTCTCTCTCCGCTAAACAAACTAGAGCGAGAGTGAGCGAGGTCACACAGGGTGACGAGGCGAGGTGGTGATGCGGGTGGACCTTGCGAGTCCGATGTGGGGGGGGGAGAGGGGAGGCCAACATGACACGGTTGATGTGACGCGACAGAGTACGGCACAGCGGCGGCATTACTTGCATTTTCAACGACACATGGATAGGCAGGCAGACAGAAGGACGAACAGGCCGGCATACATACAAACATACATACATACACGGGGGGGTTTAACCGTTGTTCCAGATTCGCTCATAGGAAAGAGTAACGCTGTTAGTGGCATATGGATACACACACAAAAAAAAAGCGCAGAGGGCGCCCAGAGGACATCCATAGGGCCACCCCCGATACGAGGCAGCAGCGGCGGAAACACAACGGCTCACATTACCCCTCACACACACACACCGCCGCGTCACTCGCTCCGTTACTCTCCCCCTGCAATCCAAAGCACGCTCTCCCGCCGCCATCCCCCCTTCCTACACAACCCCACCAGCACCCACCTCACCTCACCTCACCCCACCACGCGCTCCATAACCCCTACTCCCCAAAACTCCTGCCCTCGAACCCACCATCTGTTTCCTTCTCACTCCCTCACTGCCTAAAGCCGATACCCGCTACCCGTCACACCCAAACCCAACCCTCAACTCCCCCCGCTGCCACCACCACCACCACCACCACCATCACCACCAGATCGTCCAAGCTCCGAAATCCAAAATAATGTCTGGCCTTGGCCACACACCCGTCACTGGTCCGGGGGGCCCTGCACCCCCCGTACATTCATTCTCTAACCCTGTTGGGCGCCAACTACCTACCTACCTACCTACCTACCTACCTATCTACCTGGTGTTGGCACCCACGCACTACCTGCCCACCACCAGGTAGGTGTTGAGCAGCTGGAGGCGGCCGCAGCTCGCTGCACACATCCACCCCACCTGTCAGACCTGACACCTGCATGCCCAGTCAGGGCCAGTTTTGACAACTCCGCGCACGTGTGCACACGCCACCTCCCCGTGGCCGTCCAGTCCCCCTCGCGGCCAAAACAAGACAATACAAAAAACACCTGACACCCAGTGACTGGCGTGCGCCGCCGCCGCCTCCTTTACCCCCCTCTTGCAGAGCACCCCCTGCTGTCGAGTCGAGTCGTGTCGAGTAGCGCCTTGCAGCGCCCAAAGAGCAGTAGCAGCCGCACCGCCATTAGCCGTACCCGCAGTAGCTGCGACTAACGGAAACCGCTATAGCTCAACGGTTGTGACTGGCTGGCTGGCTGGCTGGCTGGTTGCTCCCCCTCCTTGTCATCCCCCTCCTGCTGTTGCCGCTGACGGACGCCGGTTGGACGGTGGCGAGAGCTACAGTCAGAGGTCTCTGGTGGTGAAATGCCGCCATTGCGACCAAACGGCAGTGTGAATGCGACGCCGTGACCACATCCTTGTCCACAAGTGAATGGAGTACCGCACTGACACACTCGCGATTCTCCGCCACCTGCTGTTTCTGCTGCTGCTGCTGCCCAGTACTGCTCCCCTCCTCCTCCTGCTGCTGCTGCTCCTCCTCCTGCTCCTCCTCCTCCTCCCCCTGCTTTTGTCAAAGGAACACCACCGCTGCACCACCGCTGTATTGCTCTGCTGCCCATGCTATAGTAATAGTAATAAGAGCAGTGTTACCTCCGCCCTCCCCTCCCCGATGGCTGCACCTGCTGCGGCCGCACCGGGCCCCCTTCCCTCCCTTCCCCCTCCCCCTTTTGCTGCTGCTGCCGCCGCAGCCCTCACAGCGGGAAGTCCCCTCTCCCCCATTCGGCGGTGGTCCGGTGCAGCAGCATGTTGTTGTGGTTGAGCAGCAGCCCGACGACTCCGGCACCCAGCTTACACCGCCACAGCTCTGACGACGTGAAGCCACGGCGCTTGTTGGCAGGTTGCGTCATGTCAAGCAGCTGACAACAACAACGACCAACAGGTTCAGGGGGGTTCAGGGAGTTAGCAATGCAGGGCAGGGCGATAAAAGGGCGGGATCAGTCGAAGAAAGGGGGAGGAGGAGGACCACGAGCGTGTTTTTGATTGTGCTAGAGCGGCGCGGCGAAATAAGTTTGGGAAGCTGCCATCCACCTTAAAACCTTAAGTCGCTTTCCTTCCTCCCTGGTGTCCTCCCTCTCCCCCTCCCCAGGCCGCCCCCATACCCCTGTTGCCTCCTGGCCCCCAGACCTACCTTCCCCCCCGCCCTGCCCCCCTTTTTTCCTCCCCCTCCCCCTCCCCTCCGCTCCGTTACCTGCTGCCAGAGGTCCTCAAAGCCCACGACGAAGGAGCTCTCGTCCTTCTCAACGGCATCGTAGAACCACTTGGCGTCCTCCGCACTCACCGCTCCGTCCCCGTCCAGGTCCAACACCATGAACCAGAAGCGCTGGGAGTCCCGGGTGGTACGGTCGTCGGACAGGGACACGAACCTGCGGAGGGTGGGGGACGGGGGGGAGTGGGGGGAGAGGGGACGAGACTGAGGAGCAGGCGCCAGCAGGGTGTTGGAGGTGAGGG